TAATTAACCAAGTTAAATTCTACCAAATTAAAAAATAAGACCCAACTGGTACTTTGTCATTTACTTAACTCTAATGATATATCATTCATATAAAAGATGTAATATTAACTGGCACCAAGTTTAAACTCATATCAAACATAACGAATTAATAAAATTGTATTGTACAATATTAATGACACTCAATTAATTAAATTCAAAAATATGTTTGACAAAAGGCTTAGAGCCAGCTAAAATTAGTTATTAGTTGCTAATTTTAATAAATCTTAAATTATATATCAGACGTTTCGATCTTACACTGGGTCATTTCTACTGTTCGATAAATAATAATGACAAATTGAAGTTGTTATTAAATAACATTTAACGATAAACACGCATAATAATTGAAATTAAATTTAACGGACATATACATAAATTATAAAATTACATTGATTTAGATGCTTACAATCTAGCTATATTCTTCTCTTGAAGACATGTGCTTTAAAAAAAAAGGAGGAAAAATTAATGTCATTCCATCAGGTTTGAACACCCCGTGCATAATATAGAAGTTTCTACTAATGTCTTCATAATGTACTTCAGTAAATGTGTCATGCTATTAAAAATTTGTGAAAATACATGAAGTATATTGTGTCATTTAAAATTTAATCTTATACTTTAAATACGAAGCGTAACGGTCTGAGTGTTGAGAAGTTGAACTAATATATATATTCATATAAATGAATTAATTTCAGAAATGATAATTACGCGCCGATATGGTTGTCGAACTTTCAACGCAATCAATCTGAAATATTAATAATCCCCCAAATTTCACAAATTAATCTTAAAAACTGTTATTAATATTTCAGATTGATGGCGTTGAAAGTTCGACAACCATATCGGCACGTAATTATCATTTCTGAAATTAATTCATTTATATGAATATATATATTAGTTCAACATCTCAATATTCAGACCGTTAGTGGCGTTTCATATTTAAAGTAATGTTATTTAACATAAACGGTCTTGTTTCCAATCTTATTGTTAATCTTATACAATAATGAATATCTTAGATTAATTCCACGATTAAAAATTGAAATTGAATTTGTTCCTATGGTCAGTGTACTGTTAAGACAAGAACTTTTAAAGATCAATAAATTAGCAAAAAGTTTCCAAAGATGACAATTTGCTCGAAAATGAATCTTGAAATTCTGAATCTTAAATTCTGTTCTTTGGATAGAAGTCTCGTCACATATAAATCTCCAACTTAATGATTAACGTGTCAATTTGAACTAATGACGAGACAAGCAACTAACGGTAACCAAATAAAGAGAATATCGTTAGTGGTGGGAGAGTTCAGTAGGAGGAGGATTGAGCGAGGCAACAATTTTTAAAGATTATATTGTAACGCCAATTAATATCAGATCTTTTATATACCTGATACGTATAGTTCAAATTAAGTAACAACTTTTATTTATGGGATTTTAACTTCATGGCAAATTTAACGCCTATTATTGATATCACACCTTTTATATGCCTGATACGTATCATTTAAATTAAGTAGAATTTTTATTTTTATGGGATTTTAATAGGTACGAAGATAGAAAGATGTTTTTTTTTTCAATCATGGAAAACGTCGTTACTCGATCTAACATCTCTGTCAAAAGTTACAGTGTTGCCCAGATCTTTCCGTCAAATATGGCCAACCCATATATATATATA